CCAAACCTTCACCCCGTGGTCAGACCTTATGTTCCTCCAGGCAGGAGTACCCCTAGAACAGGACTCCAGGCATACTGTGATTTACACGGATGCCTCCACCACCGGCTGGGCGGCCACGTACAACGGGCACGCAGTGTCGGGGGTATGGATGGGCCCCCAACTGCACTGGCATATCAATTGTCTAGAGTTGTTAGCAGTGCGCCTTGCCTTGAACCGTCTCAAAGGGTGCTTACGAGGCAAACATGTGCTGGTCCGAACGGACAACACGGCGACTGTTGAGTACATCAACCGACAAGGTGGTCTGCGCTCCCGTCTCATGTCGCAACTCGCCCGCCACCTCCTCCTTTGGAGTCAGAAAGTTCTGAGTTGCACCGGCTGCTTTTTTATGCTCACGCTGTGATCAGCGGCAGCTGGAGGCAATCATCGCATGCCAATGTGCATTGGCTCGTTTAGTTTACACTCGAAATGGATTGGTCTCTCTAAGCGAGATCCCAATTCGTCGGTCACCGACGGGACATCTCTGTTCCCTCCTTCAGGGAACGAGGGTTACATACGTAACCGAGGCGTTCTCCTCCTTTAATGGAGCATTAAAGAATTAAAGATCCTTTAATGCATATCAGATTACGAATTGTTCTAGTTTCAGAGAGTCGAACTCGGCGAGATGCTGAGATTCAGTCCGATTCGTGAAGATGTAAACAGACCAGTTTTGTTAAATGGTTCAACTGAATCATTATAAAGATCCAACTCAAATGAACGATTCATTCATGATTCGGATATCGCTATTCAGCAGACCACTCTTTACATTTTCCTTTTTTGTAACTGTTCAAAGAAACAGCTCTTTCCCCCTGAGAATATCTGAAGATCTATTTTACAATTAAACATTATGTAAAGAGTTCCTTAAGAGACGCTTTGGTGTTTAGTTTTATGGAACACTGTGTGATTTTGACAGATGGATATTCAGCAGCATGAAATCAGATGTCTTATCTGTGTTTTGGTAAGATTCCTCCATATCTGCTCTAACGCTCATCTCTCCAACATCATAACGGAACATTCCACCTCCTGTGGGTTCTTCACAACTTACGTAACCTGCTATGAAATAAGCAACGATTTTATTGAATACCACAGATTCTACATAACCTCAGCATTGTTTTAACTGAAGAAAATTTGTGATGTTTTTCTGAAAGAAAACACACAAATTACATGCATGATATAAACACCCTCAATTGTGCACTAATAAAAAGGTATGTATGTATATATATATATATATATATATATATTGTCGCGGGGTGATTGAGAACACAGACTCGGTACTGATCGAATGTCCTGGGGATCTCGCATACTGACCGGGCGCCTCAGCGGGCGGGGCAGTGCTCGTAGCAGTCGATCGACGAGCACTTTCTCGGCTACCTGGTCCGGGGTCGGGGACCCCGCGAGAAGCCACAGGTGAGTCAATCGGGCCAGTCACGACCCGGTCAGTATATTCCTGCCGGGCTGCCAGTCGCTCGGTGAACTGCTGCTGGCGGGCCGAGAGCTCCGTGAGGCGGCGGATGACCTCTTCCATATGTCCGGGGGAAGAGAGCGGTTTCTCCTAGAAGAAGCACAGAGATCGTTATAGCCACCTGGCAGTACCGGTCTGTGTCTCAATTCACCTGTGATGCCTGCATTCTCCACCATATGTCGCGGGGTGATTGAGAACACAGACTCGGTACTGATCGAAAGAGCCCCGGAGGGTGATTTATTGCCACCACACTGATCACACGTGCTCTGATGAATGGTGCTCGGTGCCCGTCTCAGCGTGACGCACAGGTGTTGTGCGTCGGTGATCAGTGTGGCAGCGGCGTTTCCAGGGTGACGCTAATCTGGACTCGGGATACTCGCCACAATATATATGAAAACAAGTGAAAATGTATGTCATTACAAATTGATTTATGAAACTGCCATGTTAAAACATTGGATGCAAAGGTTAGGAGGCCTCTTGGGTGCACAAGAATGGACCAACATAAAGACTGCAGAAATCGCCACAGAGATGACAGAGGAATTATCATGACAGAGGCATCCGTGTATAGAGAAATATTATGGGATTAGAGATTAATCTGAGGGAAACCCTGTCCATGTCACACTAACCCAGTTTTGAAATGCACACTTTCAGCATATGGAAACTGGTAGAACTAATGTGATCTAAAGTGATATTCAATATGTTCAGCTGTGATGTGTTTTGATAGTGTGCATGTTTGCTCAACTCTGGATGAAATATCACTCTCTGGGGCTTGAATGGAACCACATGAGACCAACAGACTCTTACTATTAAATGGCAAAATAAGCATTCTGAATTGGCCAAGTGGTACTTCCAGAAGAAATCTTTTGAATGATGGCACAATATCTAAGACAACCCAATTTTATCAAATGATTAAGTCTCGTCACGCAATATATTTGCTTGCGCACTGAATTATCATTGTGACATGGAGAGTTATGTTTGTCTCCAACTTGGACTTGGTAGTTTATGGACATAAGAAATCACCCACAGTTTATCCTTCTTTCTGGGTTCTTGGGAGACAACAATATGTCGTTACATGACGTATTTCAATCCCATTGTTTGAAACCTGCAAACCTCTAAATTAAATTCCTGGGATCCTTCAACTAGTAAAATATGAGATATGTTGGATTGACACACACACAAATCTGCACAAAACCATTTTCTCCAGACACATGCACCAAAGAAGTCAGAAATTATCCCCTTTTTGCAATAACTAATTTCCAAAGTGTGCATCCAGAATGGCAAAAATCTTTCCTCAATTTATAATTTGTAGATTAAAAGAATAAGCGCAATGGACATTTAAAAATGTATTATTTTGGACTCCAAATAACCCATAAACTTTTCTTTTTTTTTGTCAACTGCTGTTCTGGGAAGATACCACTGAATAACTTTTATCAATTCTGTACTTTCTGTCCTCAAATTTGATTGGTCCAGAGGCGCGCAAGAGCGCTTGTAACAGCACTGGGACCAGCGCCGATGAGAGAGTAGGCCTATCACTCTGCTTGTTTGGGTTCACGGCGTGTCGTGAGTGGCGCTGAGTGGAAATGGAGTGGGGAGCGGATCTGCTGTTGCGCTAATAGAGTTTTCTCTTGTAGAAGCAAGCAGAGTTGTGTGATTTTACCAGCAACTAGGAACGGTTTTCTCAAAGGCAGGGCGTTCCTATTTTTTCTCGCTCCCTGGTCGCTCGATCGGGGTTTCTTTTACAGGCAGTGTGAAATAGAAAACCCGGAGTGGATCAGTAGCCAAGCGGTTACAGAACACTTGGAGCGGGGGCGGGGAATCCCTGTGGCTCCGCTCCACTCATATGGTGCTCCAGAACACCTTTTAGTCTTTGAGTTTTTTGGTTACAAACTAAATGTTTTGTCGTTTTTACGAACTGTTTCGTTGGCGAAATGAACAATTTCATAAGAACAATTTCACAGACCAAGTCATGTTTACAATCAATATATTGGACAAGTGGACAATATAACCATAAACTGTTATGTTGAGAAAAAGGTCTTATATGCGATACACAAGGACTAAAATCCACAGTGAAATGAAACGCTGCATGTGGTTGGGTGCTGAAACTCCGAAAATTCATAAAATCGAGTAGAAATGACAGTTATTATTTGTAAATATTGTTTAATTGATGTAAACAAACATGTATTTGTAACATAACTTACACTGTATTTGACAGTGAGTGGCTGTATTCTCGAGTCTCTAAAGCATCTCTCGCATCTTGCGTGAGCATGTTTCTCTCCACATCTCTGTGTTCCTCCTCCCAGTAACTCTGGCTCGGAATTTGGACGCGAAGACGTCACTGCAGGGGAGGACAGGAGGTTTCACTGCATTGGTAGGCTACCGGCATGACATTATAGGATGGGAACCATATAATTCAGCCCCCTCAGCAGGTTAAGTTTTATATCCGAACTTGACTGACATGGTTCGGACTGAACCGTATAAAGGGCATCAGTCCAGTAGTTCTCAGGCCACTGAACTAAAACCCGGAGCCGGGTGGATGTTATAGGCACTGTGGATTTTAGTCCTTGCGTATCGTATATTTGTCTTGAAGACCTTTTTTCTCAACATTTTTGTCGTAGAGGACATATAGCCTAGACTTTGTGTTGTTACAGTTGGATTGCACATTACGGCAGGTGAGTCTTGTTTATATGGAAGCATTTTTATACGTTTTGGCACCCTAGACTTGACTTTTTTTTTTTTCATTGAAAATAATTGCTTTCTTTGCGTTTGACTGAAAGACTTTCACAGTTGTCACAGATGTCTTCATTTTGTTAGACTGCTGCAGTTGAACGCTTTTAAAGAACTATGCACTCACTAAAAGTGTTTGGCATGTCAATCTAATATGATTAATGAATTTTAGCTTGAACATTTTTGAATGCAAAATTGCACATAAATGTCAGTTTGAAGCATAGTGTATTAGTTAATTGATATGAACTTATTTAAAATGTCCATTTATTTTTGGATTTGACTTAAGTGCTGTTTATGTATTTTTACTCAGAGATGTGAATTATAAATGAAAGTTCTGACTGTTTTGATTTTATCTGAACTTTTACATGGCTGGCTTAAATAGTCACATGTCCACAGCTGTTTAATTAGCCTATACACTTTGCTCCTTTTAAAGATGATGTCAAATCTCCTTAAAATGTTATAATTGAGATACATAAAATAGTTAAAGGGTCTATTATTAATCTCTTACTAAGATTGGTCTGTCATGTAATTCCAAGGAATGTGGAAACATAGGAAAACCCAAAACCCCCATTTGTTGAAGTATTGTTGCATTGAATAATATATTTGTATTATTATCCCCTTTTTCACACATTTGCCTGATAATAAACTGTAATTTTATTTTATTTATTTATTATGATCATGATTTATTTATTTATTTTGCAATTTTTAATTCGGTCTTATTGCCCAACTGAGCATTTTTTTCACTCTATATAAAACATTTTTGTAAAGGCATGCGGTACGTTTCATTGGACTATCTAAGGAATATTTGAGAATAAATGGGTTTATAAGCTTTTATGTTTTTAAATAATTGTATGTGTATTTTAAAGGAGTTATGATACTCAGGAGAAATTTCTACTTGCTGCCTTTGCTGTTACTGTGCATCAGAGCACTACCTCAAGGTAAATCCATGATCCACCTGTTACTAAATTGTTTAGAAATAATTAGGATTTAACTGAATTCTTCTGTTGCCATTGATGTTTACATGCACATATCTAATTCTGAATTTGAGATGTCCGTATTACAGAATTTGCCCATTATTCTCTGTGCCTCCAAATACATCTGTGTTTGATTCATTAACAGAGTCTCTATGTGGCATTCAATGCGAAACAGCTTTCGAATAGTTTTGTTCTGAGATTATGTAATATTTTCCTGAAAATATTTTAATGGGCTTACCTAATCATCACATAACATCTATCTTGTATTCTCACATAATCATCTGTACTATGCTGAAATGCTTATGTTGACTCATTCAAAGATGGCCATGTGGAAGATGAATCCATCTTCGACCTTTTCAAAATCAGCAGCATCAGCAGAAAGACGATTGGTGCCAAGCTCTTCAAGGGCCACGACTGGGACTCTGCATACCGCTTCATCCGCTTTGATCACATCCCTGCTGTGAGCACCCCGGCCCTCCATCAGATCCTAAAGCAGGTCCAGAACAATGAGGGCTTTGTGTTTGTGGCCACCATACGACAAGACAAGGGCTCCAGGGGAACCCTGATTGGTCTGGAGGGTCCCAGTGGGAGCCGTCAGTTTGAGATTGTGTCCAATGGGCGCGCAAACACACTGGATCTGGTCTACATGGTTGAGGGATCTCAGAATGTGCTGTCCTTTGAGGATGTGGACTTGTCTGATTCACAGTGGAAGAACATTACGCTGTACGTTCATGGAGAGAACGCTAACCTTTACATAGGATGTAGCCTCATTGACAGTGTGATCCTGGATGAGCCTTTCTATGAGCATCTTCAGCCGGAGGGCAGTCAGATGTTTGTGGCCAAGGGATCTATCCGGGAAAACCACTTCAGGGTAAGACCAGTTCTTCTCCATGAACATCATCTGTACTTCATTCCATGCTTGTTATGGAATTCCTGCATAATGATTTTCTGTGCTGTGAAATAGGGAAGAAAAAATATTTTTCAAGTGTCTGAAAGATCAATTCTATACCGTTTTACCAATTGAATGGGGAAATTATATCTCTTTCTATAATCAAATATAATATATATTATATGTATTATTTTATATAAAAAATATAATTTTATTTTATTTCTTAGGAACCATGTCCTTGATTAATATGTACTATTGCTTAGATATGCTACATGTGGTAATTTAAATCTGATTGAAGAAAATGATCATCAATTTCCTAAATTTGACATTGTAATTGACTCGTTATAATCTTTGTCATTTTACAGGGCTTACTACAGAATGTGCAGTTCCTTTTTGACACACCTATAGAGAACATCCTGAGAAACAAAGGTTGTGAGATCGCCAAACCTGGTAAGAATTCATTCAGAACTGGAATAATTTTTTGTGTTAGATTGGTGCTTCAGGGGTCAGATTAGGCTCTTATAATGCATGGACTTCTGAATGTTCTAGGTTTCAGGAGCTCTATTGGATTCATTCTGTGCAGTTCATGATCAAATTTGTTTTAAGAGGGTTGGTATGTTTTCAGTTGGATTCAGTTTTCATTTTAAGCTTTTCTGGCTTTCACCTAAGTGGGTCACGAAATCTGCAGATCAGAGCTGTGGAAATTTCTGACCGTATTACATCATGTTTACGGGAATCGCTTGTGTTAGTGTGGTGGTATAAGGGTCGACCAGTTTGCACATGCCATAAAGAGGATAAAGATTGTCACATTAATATACATTGGCAGGGTGTTCATACTTCAAGAGAAGGTGGAAAAATGGAATAAGTACATACTCATAATTTTATACACACACTTGGTAAGATCATAGACTGGCTGGTTTGACTGACTGTTCCCTAAAGCATTGGTTTCCAGGGCTCAAAAGTAAGGATGGCCCACTGGTCCAAAGAGAGTTTCGGGCCAGTTTATGAAATAGTCACTTGCCCTTTGTGAGTGAGTGCTGCATTGCCATTGACAATCTTACTTTTTTTGTTCCTGTACATCTGTTTTTATACCTTGCAAACTGCTTCGGAAACATTTGGTCCCCTAAAAGTAAAATTTAATGAACAATATAAATACATTTTTTTTCTACCAAATACAAAAATAACATTTATTTTAAATGTATATTATAATGAAAACTATTTATTAAATGTAAAATTTGATATTTGATAAAAAAACCCTTGCTGGATTGCAGTTTAATGCAGAGAAGAGTATTGAGTCTGGGTCACGAAATCTGCAGATCAGAGCTGTGGAAATTTCTGACCGTATTACATCATGTTTACGGGAATCGCTTGTGTTAGTGTGGTGGTATAAGGGTCGACCAGTTTGCACATGCCATAAAGAGGATAAAGATTGTCACATTAATATACATTGGCAGGGTGTTCATACTTCAAGAGAAGGTGGAAAAATGGAATAAGTACATACTCATAATTTTATACACACACTTGGTAAGATCATAGACTGGCTGGTTTGACTGACTGTTCCCTAAAGCATTGGTTTCCAGGGCTCAAAAGTAAGGATGGCCCACTGGTCCAAAGAGAGTTTCGGGCCAGTTTATGAAATAGTCACTTGCCCTTTGTGAGTGAGTGCTGCATTGCCATTGACAATCTTACTTTTTTTGTTCCTGTACATCTGTTTTTATACCTTGCAAACTGCTTCGGAAACATTTGGTCCCCTAAAAGTAAAATTTAATGAACAATATAAATACATTTTTTTTCTACCAAATACAAAAATAACATTTATTTTAAATGTATATTATAATGAAAACTATTTATTAAATGTAAAATTTGATATTTGATAAAAAAAACCTTGCTGGATTGCAGTTTAATGCAGAGAAGAGTATTGAGTCTATTTGACCAGTAAATATAAGTAAGAAGTAGTAAGAAGGAATAAGTAGCTTTAGACCATGACAAAACTAAGTTTTGTGTGAGATGTGCAGGTGTGACCATTTCTTTAGCACTGCTGCCTCAGTTCCTTTAATTGTAATTGAATAAGTATGCATAGGATATGTGCAGTCAAAAAGGCTTCCATTTCCATTGCCAGCACGGATACATGCCAACTGCTGAACGTTAGGATGCCAGTGCAGAGGTCTCTATAAACTCTCTAGTGCCCCAGTTTAGGAGTGCCACGTATTGCTAAATAAAAGCTAAACTGAACTGCACAAAAGCCTGCCTAGAAAGTCGCTGAAACAGACACGCGCACACACACTCATCTTCCCAGCATTGACTGAAACCCCCAAGAGATTTGAACGAGTTCAACAGTCTCTAAAAAGCTGCTAACCCTGCATGAGTCTCAAAGGAACCTCTGGAGGTAACAACATGGCTCTTGATTTAGTGTCTCCTGTCCTCCATTAATCTGGAGGAAATTTACGCAAATGACCCCAAAATGGCTGCGGGTATCTAATGGGAGTTTTGGCATAATGGACAGCATTCCTCTGCTGTTGCGTATCCCCAACCCCACGACCTTCCTCCTTTTCCAAGACTTGCTTTGAAAAATCACTATCTTTCTTTAAATGCTACTTCTGGGTAGCTTCTGTGCATTCATTATACTTAAGTCAGAAATGTAGTGAGAGAATGATATATTCAAATGTGTGGGGTGTGGAATATCCTACAAATCTGTTAAGTGTTCTGTAATCCATGCACCACTATAAAATCTCAAACATGGCTGCTGTATTTTGACTATTCATTGTAAATGCTCATGGGAACACCTTAATATTGTATTAATTCACATATACTATTTCCAATTAAAGTTTATTTACTTCCTCTTTATCTTTAGGGCCATTTCTTAAATTTGGTCATGTTATGAAGTTACACTTAAGTAATTATTACTATTTAATCAATTACATTTTTTGACACCGATCCTCTGCATTCTCTTCTCTCTTAGAAGAAGTTAACGTGGTTAATGAGAGTACGGAGACTGTGTCTGTCGGTACGGCCATCTCCACCAACTTCATTGGGCAGAAGGAGAAAATGGCATCGGACGTGTGCGAACGTTCCTGTGAGGAAATCACCAACATGGTCCAGGAGCTCAAAGGTCTCCGTATTGTTGTGGGCAATCTCATCGATGGCTTGCAGAAAGTGGTAAATGTGTTTTACTTAATGTGTTTTGTTTGAAAGAGTACCTGAGAAACAGCACAAAATAAGAACTCTTTTCTCATGCAGTTGCAGTGAATAGGGACTGAGGCTTTCAAGCAGTAAGAAAGTCAGTCTCATAAAAGTAGTCCATATGACTTGTATGCTATACTCCAAGACTTCTGAAGTCATACAATAGCTTTGTGTGAGAAAAACACATTGAAAGCCTCAATTCTCATTCATTGTAATTGCATGGAAAAGAGTGACCCTTAAATGTCTCCTTGTGTTCCACGAAAAACAGAAAATGAAGCGATTTGAGTGTACATTAGCATCTAAAAGCGCTATTTAGACGCTTCAGTCATTCATTCAAAGTGATATGGAAAAACATGCGGGTGAATAAAGATGTTTGTTTTGTTGATCTGAAATGTACACGTTATTTCATAAAGCCCCATTGTTCAGGTTGGTGTCCAACCTGTGATTTGGTGAATTTTATTACAGATTAAATATCTGACTGTGCAAGCAAAAATTATTTTAGTCTAAACAGAACCATTGAAGGAAAACAGGGCTAAAGAGGCAGTGGAAAACGTGAAGATGTGGGCTGGGGTTTTATGGTTTGTTTTAGAGGGAGATAGGAAGTGTGAATAGGAACCGAGTCGTGTCTGGCAGTGTTTAAACAGCCCCTTTATCCTCCACTGGGAGCTTCTCAGCGATGAGGGAGTCTGGGCATAATCTCTGGGAAATCCAGCCACTGGATGCTGCGGGTCCCAGAGGCTCTTCCAGACCATGTGGTGTTCTGTTTCACAGCCTAACACTCATGACTGCTACCTATGCATTTTGATCTCACTCACACATGCACAAATTAATTCATCAGCACACTGAATGTGGTTGTGTTTTGTGTGTGTGTTTTTGTATGTACTTGGTGTGCTTCAGAAGATAAAAACCTTTTCCTCTCTTTTGCATTCCTCTTGTTAGATTTTTTTCCCTTCCCTCAACCTCTTGTTCTGTCTCTTTCCTTTTTCTCAACTCTTTACTCGTGGCCACAAATGCATGATTAGTTTGTACTAATGCATCTCAAGACTGCAAAGTTCTAGTTTGGGTGTTCTTTTTTTCATTTCTTTTTTTTTTAAAAGAAAACAATATAAAAACAACTGGCAAAGATGAACAAAGTAGCAAAAATCTGAAAAGAGAATTTTTGCATTCAAACATTACAGAAGTGAAAAATAAAGATGATTTGATGTTGCAAATGTCAACATTACAAGCACAAATCATAAGCATAAGACAAGTAAATTACATGTAGATCAAAAGTTACCTGAGGACACTTTACTTCTGCATGGTGGTCAACCAGAAATGTCAATTGGGTTATATAGAAATAAATTACATTTTAAAATATATTGAAATAGAAAACAGTTATTATAAATTGTAGTATAATATTTCACAGTGTTACTGTTTTTACTCTTATTTTTGATCAAATAAATGCAGACTTGGTGAGCATAAGAGACTCCTTTCAAAAACTTGCTTTTGAAATCTTACTGAACCCAAACTTTTGAACGGTAGTGTACATGGAAATCCTTAAGAAGCACAAAGTTCTTTATCATTTCTCACAGGTTAACATTAGAGATCAACCAAAGCATGGCAATTTGATAGCAGAAAACGCAAAGCTATTTCCCAGGTCAAGAGGTCACAATGAGAAAATCATCCCAGATTTCCTGGGGCAGAGCTTCCTGTAGGGTCAAGGACATAAATCCCCTGCTATATAGAAGCGTGTTCATTTCATATCAGTTTAACTCACCTCTATTTATCTACATGTGGAAGACACTGACAGAAGTATTGCCTCCTCTTGACCGTTCGTCTATCTGTCTTGCTGTGCGTCTGTCGGTTAGACTGAGGAGAACACCGTGATGAAGGAGGTGCTGGGGAACATGAAGAACATCAAAGACAAGCGCATGTGCTGGCAAGACGGCCGTCTCTTTGAGGATAAGGAGGACTGGGTTGTGGACAGCTGCACTAAGTGTACCTGTCAGGTAGGAAGAACTGTGACGTATGATGAATGGAAGGGAAAGAGCGAATGACAGTCTGCTTTTGTTCTGACTCTTTATGCTGTCTGGCTTCATGTTGCAGGAATCAAAGATTGTATGCCATCAGATCACATGTCCTCCAGTATCCTGTGCCAGCCCAACTTTCCTGGATGGTGAATGCTGTCCAGTGTGTCTGCGTGAGTAACAATTCTGACACATTGCTGATATTCACACTCTCATTTTCACATCATGTCTACAGGTTACGCACATTCAATTTAGAGATGCGCTGTCTGAAATAAAATAATTTTCTTCACTGATATCATTTGTGTGAATTGTATTTAAATGCCTGAATTTTACATCAAAGCCAACTTGGGATGAAAAAAAAATTCAGTTAATTCAATGAAATTAATATTTCATAATATTGCTGTTTTGCTGTATTTTGATTAAATAAATGCAGTTTTGGTGAGCATAAGAGGCTTCTTTCAAAAACATTTTAAAAAATCTTACCAACTAAACTTTTGAACGGAAGCTTATACAGGCCAGCTTTGCAGAGGAACTTTTCTCTAATTTTTATTTTCTTTAATGGTACAGAACTGTTATTGTTTTAAAACTGCCTGTGTTTGCCAACCACACATTTTTGTTATCCCTGAGTAACAAGCATTACTGTATGTTCCCATGCTCTGAAGTGGGTTAAGAAAAATGATGTCATGTATAACTTAAGCTCCAAAACATCAGAGGCAAAGAACAATGTTGCCTTTGCTCTTCAAATATACTAGCAACAAGGAGCACCATGATGGGTGTGTTGGGGTTAGAACGAGGTGAATTGTGCCTGAAGTTACAAGTGCTAAATGTGCTTGTGCATTTATGTGTGTACAGCTAAAGATAGCGAGGATGGCTGGTCTCCTTGGTCTGAATGGACAGAGTGTACCGTCACATGTGGAACGGGCACCCAGCAAAGAGGCAGGTCATGTGATGCTGCAAGTAACCCCTGCAATGGCCCCTCCATCCAAACCCGCAGATGCAACTTGGGAAAATGCGACAGTCGTGGTGAGACAGCCAGTCTTTGTTTGCACACTTTCTTTGAACACCTGTTCTTTGGTCATGTAGAGGCATTTTGGACACAATTTTCCTGTCTGTTTTGTCCATAAAGTCTAAAACCTTGGAAGAAAACCACATAACAGCGGTTTGAGTGGTATTGGATTAAATCCTGTTGCTCGTGGCCTTAAGAAATGTGGTAGGCCACCCTATAACTGCAAGTGCACAGTTTGTTCTCTCACTGATTTGTTTCAGGAGGATCAGCGCATCAGAAGATAATTGTAAAAGTAAAAGTAATGCAATCATCTGTAACGTCTCCACAGACCAGAGTGAAAGGGTTTGTGTTCTAAACCAAGAGAGATCTGAAATGCAGCTGTCACAATATCTAAACAGCTGTTAAAAATAATGGAAATGGATGTAGCGAATCAGCTCATGGGGAAATATGAATAATTAATCATAACTAGTTATAATTAATTATAAATATTTAGATCCGCTGTAGATATTTACTTGACCTCTCAGGGTCAACTGTCTGTCAATTCTAAGAACGTTAATTTCCTGGTTAAGGGAAATTACTTTCTTACTGTACAACTCTACACAGAGCCTGCAGCATAAATCTGCATGATTAGGGACGCCAGTTATGAGTAAACAATGAACAACGTCAAGTGTGATACAAATAAATGACTTTATTAACTACATAAACACTTAAACTAGTCTAACATACACATAAACACTTAAACTGGTCTAACATACACATAAACACACACACACACACACAACACATAAACACACACACACACACACACTACTCGCATTCCATTAGGTCGTAAATGTATCTGGTGTCAGGGTTGCCATGGTAACCAGGGTCCTGGGCCTTGTTCACAGACAACTTGGCACCCAGTATGTTTATTGGGTGAACGTTTGTTAATCTAATGAATAATTGATTTGTTAAATCAAATGAAAAATGGTGTGTCTGATTGGTCCAGACGCTACATGGAAGAAAAAGAATCAGTTCACCAAGACTCTGGTTCTTGGTTTTGTTTCAGCCAAAATCACTAAATCTTTATGGGAAAAAATATTTATTTTGGCTGTTGTTTTTGTTGTTTTGAATTGGTTATGAGGTTTTGAAGGAATAGTTCATCCAAAAATTAAAATTTGGTGATTTACTTATGTCGCTTCATACTTGTATGACTTTTTCATGAAAAATAAATGGAGAATGTACTGCTTGCTCTTAATGCAATTACAATGAGTGAGGTCTGATGCTTTTAAACTTCAAAATGATGCAAAAGCACAATAAAAGTGTCACAGACAATGCTGAATGGTCCAAAAAGCACATTTAGTTTTATCCGAAACCGATGAATGTGAATCTGGAAATGTAATATGTTGGTTGTTGAACATATCATGACAGTTTGGAATTGAAATGAAATTCTGGAAAGGAACCGCATAAAAAAATAAGGCTTTATACATCGATAATCCGCACCTGTCATCAAAATAATGTATAGGTACGTTTTTGGTGTTTAGCAAAAATGTTGGTTGAGGCTCGTTTGTATTATTGGACGTTTTCTGAGACCATACAATATCTTTGTATGAGGACTTCAAAACACATTGATTATAGTGCATCAATCATATGGATCACTTTTATTATTCTTGTTTTATGGTGCTTTTGTGTCCTTTATGAAGGTTGAAAGGTTCAGTCTCTACTTATTGTAATGACATGGAAAAGAGCAACCGGTTCAATTTATCAAATTTTCACCTTACATGTTCTTCAAAAGAAATACATTCATATGAGTTTGGAACAACATAAGAAAATACTGAGTGAATTTTCCTTTTTGGGTCAACCTTTAAAGTGGGTCATATCAACCAAAAATCATCAACTATAATAACTGCAGAAATCCCTGCCAAAAATTTGCATTGGCAGTAGGCTGAACGACACTCAAGCGGTAAGCTGTAATCCTTCTATGGCTAGCACCCACTTACCTAGATTTCATCAAATTAATTATTACTACTGATTCAATGTTACATCACTCAGTTGATGTTCATCAGCCAAACTGTGATTTCAAGCCATTCCATTCCCTTGCAGAATGTGACATGATACTGACCTAATTTTGTGGAATTTGGATAAATCTGTAACAACATGGGTGTTTTCTTTCATCATCTGTTGCAAATATTTATGAAGCGTGTGCTAATAGATAAGCTCCTTTCCATCCGCGAGGGAACGAGCTGGTATTCATCACTTATGCTCAGTGAGGTTTTAATGAGCGGCATATGGTTCTTTGTGGTGTACCAGTGCTAACTCTGGCTTATGGCGGACTCAGATGTTTTTTTTATAACTGACCAATGTTACCAGCTGGTATCTTGGACAGCAATGAACAAACTGGCCTTTGTTACAATTACCGCTCAACAATATCTATAAGTATTCAGACATTAAGATTTTTTAGATTTATATAAAAAGAATCACAGTCTCTCTCCTCCTAATGTTGTCAGTTAGTATATTCAGACCCATGTGGTTGTGGGAAAAGAATATAGCTGACAGTGTAGCGAATCAGTTCATGGGGAAATATGAATAATTAATCATAACTAGTTATAATTAATTATAAATATTTAGATCCGCTGTAGATCTTTACTTGACCTCTCAGGGTCAACTGTCTGTCAATTCTAAGAACGTTAATTTCCTGGTTAAGGGAAATAATTTTCTTACTGTACGTATAAAATCTCAAAGACAACATACACAATGACCTGAAGGATATGTGTGTTCATTCAAAGAAAGGTTTTCCTATTAATTAATTAGAGAAGAGTCAATTTTTACTGTGCACTGTGGATTTGCTATGGAAAATGTAGTGCGAGGGGAAATTCTCAACATGGCATTAGGTCGTAAATGTATCTGGTCTAGCAAAGGTGTCGTGGTTGCCATGGTAACCAGTGTCCTGGGCCTCGTTCACAGACATCTTGGCACCCAGTATGTTTATTGGGTGAGGGGTCTGTGAATGTTTGTTAATCTAATGAATAATTGATTTGTTAAATCAAATGAAAAATGGTGTGTCTGATTGGTCCAGACGCTACAACAGTGTGTCAGGAGGCACACTTAATGCTCATTGTGTCACCACTGGCCTGAATACACCATCAAGTCTTTCCCATGCTGAATCCCAAAAGAGGATGAGCTGATTGGTCCAGAATTGTGGGCTAGGTGGTCATCGCTTCATCAAGTTTATTGGCAGTCCCCCCCCCCGTGTCATTCCTGGACTTCCATACCTCTGGACTTAATAATGTAAATGAAAGATGTCATTGTTTGTGTGGGTTTGTTTGCTGCTTTAACGCTGCCTTCAATTCATGTCAGAATGATCGCATTTATGAGATGAGTGCACATAAACACCTCCACAATTTTGTTTTAGCCCCAACTTTCCATTGGCAGTTTGGGTTCAGTCATATTTAAGTTTACTTGCCGGAAAACACAAAAAAGAAACTAATTTTAATAATATATTCAAGCAAAGCTTTATGCATATCCATTATTTGTTCTTTGCTTTCCATTTTGTTGAATTAGGGGTAAACAAATGCCTTAACTTTGCCGTTAAAGTGTAAAAGAGAAGAGAGCATTATATACACTACCTTTAAAAAGTACATCATACTGTAGTTACAACTTCCAAAGTCAAGAGCAGGATCTTCCACAAGCAGCATATGCCATTGTTTTTGATGACCATGCCAGGTCTCTGCCTTTCATTATAGTCCGTCAAGATGGTGGTTGGAGTTTGTGGTCCCCCTGGTCGTCATGCTCTGTGACATGTGGAGAGGGACAGATCACGCGAATTCGCCACTGTAACTCCCCTGTCCCTCAGCTGGGAGGAAAGGACTGCGAGGGCAGCGGGAGAGAGACGAAAAAATGTGAAGCCAAACCCTGTCCGAGTGAGTGCTGGGAGCCCCGGCTTCTTATTTATGTATTAAACTTAGTCTTGAGAAATGAAGCTAAGACTATATTAGATCGATTTGTATAGTGTGATCTTGGAATACAACAGTTTACATGGATAATTTGTCTCCGTAAACTCAAATTTTAACTGTACTCTCTTCTTCTTATAGTTGATGGAGCCTGGGGCCCATGGTCTCCTTGGGCGATCTGCTCCGCTACCTGTGGGGGAGGAACAAGGACACGAACACGCGTGTGTAACAGCCCTCGTCCACAGTATGGCGGCAAAAAATGCCCAGGAGAGTCCAAGGACAATGATTCCTGCAACAAACAGGACTGCCCTGTTGGTATGTTACCTTCCAATATTTTAATTTATTTCTCACTCCACACATATTCTCTCTCATTGACTGTGTTCGGCTATATATCTATGGGACCATATTGTGGATGCCCCTGCCCTCTTGTCCCCATTGCTGAGCCATTACAATAAAGCAGAAAGCTGAATTAGCATCAGTAGGTTTTTTTTAAAGAAATGAATACTTTTATTCAGCAAGGAAGTATTAAATGAAGCAAAAGTAATTATAAAGATGTCTATAATGTTACAAAAGGTTTCTATTTCAAAATAAATTTAGATCTTTCTATTCATCAAAAAAAAAAATCTGAAAAAAAACGGTATCACAAAAATATTAAGCAGCACTACAAAACTGATAGTAATAATAAATGTTTCTTGAGCAACACATCACATATTAGAATGATTTCTGAAAGATCGTGTAACACTGAATACTGGAGTAATGGCTGTTGAAATTCAGCTTTGCCATCTCAGAAATAAATTACATTTTAAAACATTTAAATAGAAAATATTTATTTTAAATTGTTATAATATTTCACAATATTACTGTTTTTACTGCATTTTTTATCAAATAAATGCAGCCTTAGTTAGCATAAGAGACTTCTTTGAAAAACCTTTGAACGGTTGCATACATGTGAAATTCATCTTATCAGTGGGTTCTATTTAAAGACCTCTATAGACTGACACGTCATGCATAATGTCTCTAGTTTCATCTTGAGATTTATGAAATGCATATCAATTTCATGAGTAAACTTAAAGCCTCTCCCTTTTTATTCCCTGCTTCTTTAGATGGTTGTCTATCTAACCCGTGCTTCGGGGGTGTTGACTGCACCAGCTCCCCTGACGGCTCGTGGGAGTGCGGGCCCTGCCCTGTCGGTTTCCGTGGCAATGGAACATTCTGTGAGGATGTGAATGAGGTACAAAGGGAAAAGAGCTGGAGCTGGGAAAAGTATAATGTAGTTAGGGCTGTGTAGCAAGCAGTTGTTATACTGCATTACTCACAATTCAACACAGAAAGCATAGCCAAACAAAAATGTTTCTCCAGCCCTTACTCTATAGATTCACTGATATGAACCCAACAAATCCCAATAAATGTGAACATTATTGAAAAATGCTTTTTAAAACATGTTTCCTAACATTCCTGTTTGCTTCTCCTGTCCTATAGTGTGACATGGTGCCTGATCTTTGTTTTAAAAACGGTGAATCCCAGCGCTGTGTCAACACAGACCCAGGATTCCACTGCTTGCCTTGCCCTCCTCGATACAAAGGCAATCAGCCCTTTGGAATGGGAGTGGAGGCTGCCAAGCTAAATAAACAGGTTAGTTATGCAGTCTATGGACAGATTGGATCAATTATTGCACAAGTATATAAATGTGTCATTACCCTGGATGAAAACTGGAAAGCGCATGATATATTCTGTTTGTTTTCTGAGTATTTTATGTTAAATAATCCATACTTTACTATTATTTTGGAATCGACTGTTTTATGTACAACTGCCACTTCATGCCTTCTAAACAAAATGAACTGGTTGCTTGCTTAGCTTGTCAGTCAGGTGGTCTCTTCTGGTCTAATTGTACAATTCTTTCCCAGAAATGACTGTGGACCAGGCATTATGTTGTTTGTATGTATGCTAAAGATTAGATGTCAAACTTTTGCACAAGAGTGATAGTCTGAGTAGAAAGTGTGTTCTCAGACATTTTAGACAAAGCATGTCTTCTAAATGAAAAAAATCTTTCGGGCCCATAATGGTGACCAAGCATATGGATTTGCACTAATTCTTCCATTCCTCACGGATGAATACATTTTGCAGATTTCGTGGAAAGCTGACTCGTTTGCTTTTTTTGTCCAAAAGTTTCATAACGTCCACAACTAATAGGCTGGTCACCAACCTCCAGCTTGCATTGCTTTGATCCAGCGCCCAAGAGTAGTAAATTGACAAAGTGCTGAAAGGAATTGTCTCAGATTTTATAGCTGCAATCCAATCGCTTTTTAAATAAGCTGCCCGGTTGTGCACAGCTGAAACCAACAAAATAGTAGGAAATTATCAATAGAAAGTCTTTTAAGAGCCTCACAACATAATTCCCAGTTGTCTCCCCAGGGTATGAACCAGTTCTTTCACCATAATTGGACTGCTATTGAGCGTTGCTGAAGTCGGTTTATTTTTCAGGAGTGTGAGCAAGAAAACCCCTGCAAAGACAAGACTCACAACTGCCACAGGTCCGCTGAGTGTATCTTCCTTGGCCACTTCAGTGACCCCATGTTTAAATGCGAGTGTATGATCGGCTATGCTGGGGACGGCCTCATCTGCGGCGAGGACTCTGACCTTGATGGCTGGCCCAATCAGAACCTGGTGTGTGGAGCCAACCAGTCCTATCACTGTAAAAAGGTAATAGAGTTATTGTCTTTTCTGGCTACAAGACATACCCCCGGTTTCACAGACAAGGCTTAAGCTAGTCCCAGACTAAAATGCATGTTTGAGCTGTCTCAACTGAAAATATCTTGCTCTGACATATCTTAAAATATGTCAGTGTCATTGTTCTGTGTCAAGATGCACACCTGTAATGTTTTCTTCTAAGGCATTTTTGTAAAAGTTGCTTAAATATCTTAATTTAACTAAGGCCTAGTCCTGGCTTAAGCTAAGCCCCATTTGTGAAACCGGGCCATACGTTTTTTATAACTGTGACTTAATTGACTAAAAATTTAACCAATTAATCGCAAAGGTTTCTGAAAATAATTGCAATAATTGAAAGAAGTCTCTTATGCTCACCAATGCTGCATTTATTTGATACAAAATACAGTAAAAACAGTAATATGCTGGAAATATTATTACACTTTAGAATAACTTTTTTTCTATTTTAATATACTTTAAAATATAAATTTTCCTGTGATGGCAAAGCTGAATTTTCAGCATCATTACTCCAGACTTCAGTGTCACATGATCCTTCAAAAATCATTCTAATATGCTGATTTGGTGCTCAACAAACATTTCTTATTATTATCAGTGTTGAAAAGGTTGTGTTACTTAATGTTTTTTGTTTAGACCATATTGCATTTATTTTCAGGATTCTTTAATGAATAGAAAGTTCAGCATTTATTTGAAATAGAAATCATTATAAATGTCTTTACTGTCACTTTTGATCAATTTAATGCTCCCTTGCTGAACAAAAGTATTAATTTATTTTAAAAAATCATACTTATTGCAAACTTTTAACTTCAGTGTATAATTGCACATTGAATCCCCAAGTTAATTAATATAGTAGAAGAATATTTTAAATAGTCTACTGGCTTAATTCATAGACAAAAGAAAAAAAGATGCTACATCAGTTGCATTCATTTTAACACATTTAATTTTAATTATACGTGTTAATTTTCTCAACTAAGGAAAAAAAATTTTTTCCTATTCCTGTGCAGGACAATTGTCCCAACCTTCCAAACTCAGGCCAAGAGGACTTTGATAAAGATGGTCAAGGAGACGCCTGTGACAAAGACGACGATAATGATGGAATAATGGATGAGGGGGTAGGCAGACATCTTGATTAGATTGTTAAAAATCAGCCATGTTTTGTTTTTATTTAAACTAAACTTGTTTTTTTCTCCTGTGCCCCAGGACAACTGTCCTCTACTGTACAATCCCAGGCAGTTTGACTACGATAAAGATCTTGTCGGTGATCGTTGTGATAACTGTCCATATGAGCACAACCCCGCTCAGATCGACACAGACGGTAATGGCGAGGGAGATGCCTGCTCTGTGGACATTGATGGAGATGGTGAGAAACTACCACATGCATTCCCACAATTACTAAGTCAACTTGTTTATACACTCAACAAGCTTGGGATTCTGTCATGGTTAGATCCAGGCTGGGTTTAAACCCAAGTGCTTTTTTTAATGTAAACTAAAAGCAATGCAAATGCCTCACCACAGTCAGTTGCAGATTTTTTGTATTTCCAGATGGTTAACAGGTCCATTCAGCTCAGTGTAATGCTATTGCTTGCTTGTGTTGCAGAGGTTCTGAATGAGCATGATAACTGCCCTTACATGTACAATACTGACCAGAAGGACACAGACATGGATGGAGTGGGTGACCAGTGTGATAACTGTCCTCTGCTGCACAACCCTGACCAGGTACAACAGGCTCTAGCTCAACTCTTTCCAGTAAACACACACTGAAAAACACAAATGTACACTAGGAGGAATGTTTTGCAGCAGTTTAACAAAGTAATTTGTATGCTTCAACAGACTGACTCAGATAATGACCGAGTTGGTGACGAGTGCGACAACAATCAGGACATTGATGAGGACGGCCACCAGAACAGCCTGGATAACTGTCCCTACATTGCGAATGCCAACCAGGCCGACCATGACAAAGATGGGAAAGGAGATGCTTGCGATTTTGATGACGATAATGACGGGATCCCTGATGACAAGGACAACTGCAGGCTGGTGCCCAACAAAGATCAACTAGACTCTGATGGTGAGTGAATCTATTGCTTAAAATAACTAGTGTTTGTCTGCATTTCTACTGACTGTGAAAAGAAAAGTTAACACATGGATGCACACACAATAACAGTTATAGAAATACTGAGATTTAATTTCTGTGTAGAAATGCAACAGTGGCAGTAATTTGTCATTTTTTGCTCAAAGACGGCCAGCTTTACAAAACTTTAAAGGAGCCAGTCATCTTTAATATGTTCATTTTTATCCAAGTTTTTTTTGGCCACATTTTTCCTCTTTGCATCCTTTGAGATTTAGACATATTTACAACTGGAAAACTTCCTTTAGTGTAGCCAGGGTCAAGGAAAAGGATGTCACGCTCTCACAGCTTGCATGTGGTTTCTGAAGGGTGCGTGTGGTTTACCCCAATGTGCTGCATTTTGTTAAGACTAACTTATTTTTTGTGTTGGTGGGAAAATGGAAACGGGTTACAGTTGGAGGTCGAAGTTGTCAGGTGCTGGCATATTTCTCACACCTCATTATATTTGTTTATTTGATAGTGTCAAGATGGTTCCAAAGCGAGAAAGTCAACTACTGTAAAAACAGACACATTAGCAAAGAGCTGGCAGCCTACTTGACTTTTCCCTCTTATTTGAGTGCTAAAGTCTGGATTTAATAGATTTCACATTTGAAGCCAGTCATATGTTAATGTATATGACATGAAAAGACAGCTGAGATTGCTTTGTGCTTAAAGAAGAGAGCTGGGATACCTGATGAAACGTTCTACTTCTTTTTGATACAATATTTGTCTTTTTGGTGTAGTGCTGACAATTTTATTACCCACAATACCCAAAAATATAGTACAATATAATACATTTTAGCTCATTTATATTAATGTTTAAATTAATTAAAAATAAATATTAAAATAATAAATGTAATAATAAATATTATAAAAAATTGTTATTGAAATAAAAACAGTAATAATTATTAACAAAGAAATAAATAATAAATTATATTACATATAATAGTTTATACTATAGTA